TGCATCACTATCTCAGCATGCACTCTTAATATCTTTGACATTTTGGGGACTTAGGGTTGTTTTGGTAGGCAATCTGAACAAAATTTTGAAAACAAGGGATTCAATAAAAATAGAATTGTATTTCGCGTTTTTCAGATGTGTTTTGTTAATAATTTAAAAATAGGATTCCAATTTAAACAATGACTCAAATTAATTAACATATTTTCTTTTTTGTTATAAATTTGGTGTAGTTATTATTTCTATTATATCATATGATTTATAATATTAATATACATATTTTAATTTAACAATAATAATTGAGTTTATAACATGAATTACTATACTTATTTAAAATTTATATTTTAAAATATGATTGAAATTCAAAACCTTTATACAATGAAAATATAGAAATGTTGTTTTCAGAATTTCACTATTTAGATCATATAATCCCAAAACAATTTGAAAAATACATTTGTCAAATGCCCATTCCCCTAGCACATTGAATTTGAAGGCATAAAACAGGCTCCAAAGTGCCTGCTAAACCGGCCTTTTAGCTATCACTTGAGTTTGTTCATCATAGTGAGCTTGGGAAATACAAACATTTACCCTCTTTTTATGATTGTCTACAGAAGCAGAAGTTGCGAGAAGATTCAGAAATGAATTCTGAACTTGCTGATAGCCAGAAACTCCCAAAACTGATCCGCAACTTCCCACAAACACAACCAGTTGCAGATTCTGCAGTACAAGACAAACCAAAACTATCTACAAATTTCCTTGCTGGGGTAAGTAATAACGTATTATTTACAACCAAACTTCGTCTCATTCTCATGATTTACCTACAGTCAGTTAAGTTATCAGATATTATCTTATGTATTTTTAACTCCGTATAGTTAAAGCTTGATTTTTCAAATTCTAAAAATTGTGTTTGTATTGCCCACTTGTCGGCAACTCAATATAAGAGGTCAAAGGTTCACCCATTGAGTTCAAAAAAATGAAATAATGTTCCTATTAGTAGTAGTGGTCAATTAGTTCTGTATTCAAAACTATGTTATTTAAAAGCATGTCAAACTCTCATTAAATGATAACCTTATAACCTACCAGAAATCTCTCTTCATTGAATCTGTTAGAATTTATTTATACCTTTTTATAACACCAAGGTCTTGGCTATTTTCTCCTCTTCTGCAGGTGTTTGGAGGTTCCTAGTCCTCCAATTTCCGAATGCTAGTAAAGAGCTGTACGCCGAGGGGTTTACTACGTAGGGACACTACGGCTTTTTGGTAGGCAGAGCCAATCAAATCTTTGACATATCAATTTATTTGTGGATGCAAGAATGTGGAGGAGTTGTTGTAGCATTCTATATTTGAATCAATTCTTTTTGCATTTCATAATTTGTGAAGCATATAGGTCCCCATCTATTTATTTGTGGATGTTAGTATTTATGGTAGTCTCATAGCCCAAAGGTGGCTGGCTAGACCGTTGATTTATGCGCACAAATGCACAAATTCACGTCTAGAAATCTAAACTTAGTTTGATTGATTGATTAAACTTAGTTTGATTGATTGATTAAAATATATATCTTTAACGAAAAGATTAAATATTTGAATATAAAAAAAAAATATTTTCATGTAATTATTAAAAGTAAGTTAATTCACAAGAAAAGTAAAAACAAAGGGAGTGTGGCATATATGGATCAAGGTACTTTGTATTTAATAGTGATGTCTCATTTGCATTAATTTGATGGTTGAGTCATGGACAATCCAAATTAAAGTCCTACGTCCAAACACCCACCAGAAATTTTTATGTTTGTTCAAATATAATTTAATGCTCTCTCTCCTCATGTAACCATAGTCACTTTATAATAAAAACAATAAATGAGAAATATAAACTTACACGCTTACTGTAATAATTGTAATAATGTACTATCCAACCTAAGTTTATTGATTAAGATGTTACATGTTAGATATTAAATCTCCATTCTTGTTTGAACTAAAAATTCAATAATAAGCATAAAATATGTGTAAGAGAAAATAGCTAAAATTCAATAATAAGCATAAAATATGTGTTAGAGAAAATAGCTAATTTACGTAATTTTAATGATAAAAAGTAAACCAAATAGGTCTTTACGTCAAGTTATTGCGACAAAAAGTTTTAAAAGTTATATAGGTTTAATTGGATAATATTTATAAAATAAAAAATAAACAAATTAATGTGAAGCAAACTCATAATAAAATCAAGAATTTGGTTATTTTAATGACTTCATTCTCTAAAAATTTATTACGTGAAAATTATATTATTTTAAAAAATTGTTTTTTCATGTATTAAATATGGTCCACATATATAATCCCTAAAAAGGTAAATGAATTATCAACGTCATCTTAAATGATTTATATAAAATGGCCATACTCATACTCAAATTAAAACACTAAATTTTTATATTCACTTTATTTTAAACGAATTTTGTACTTTAATGCTTCAAATTTTTCCATTAAAAAAAAAAAAAAGAAAAGACAATAGGATTCATCAAACTACTTCACATTCAAACCAGAGATCTGATAACTCATAAGAAAACATAATTTAAAATGGGGAAAAAAAAAATACAAATATTTAGTTAGAGGTTGAGGGAATAAGTTGGGGCGAAATTTTGAAGGGCAGAATGGTGATTTTTATGGCATTTGATGGAGCTGGGATTCACCTGAAGAAACAAATAATTTCCAGCAAAAAGATCCCCCAAATACGCTTCCCCTTCCCTAAACCTCTTCACAACCTTCGCAATCGAGCCTCTCATGGCCGTCACCAGCCGCGATTTCCTTCTCAACAGCTTTCTCAGGCTTGGAACTCTGAGCTTCTTCAACCTCCTCCCAATCGAAGCCCTTCTGATTCTGAACCACCGCTTCGATCTTCCGACGAATCTCCTCCTCCTCCTCGCTTCTCCTCGCCTCGATCTTCCAAACGCCTCCTCAAATTCCTCGCTGTATCTCAGCCTCCGGTACCGGAACTTGCCTGGCGGCGCGGTTGTGTCGAGGTCCGGCATGGCGGATTCGCTGAGTTTGAGAAGAGAAGCAGTGAAGTGAGAGGGCATTAATAGGAAGAGAGATCGATCGTTGAGAGCATTTAATGGATTGGCAACTGGACGTTGGGATTCATATGGTGCGGAGGGTTTTGCTTTCTTTTATATATGTATATATATATATTTATTTATTATTTATTTATTTTCTCTTTCTTTTAAGAAAGTCAATTCACATGCATTTCTTGAATACAAATAAAGTTCGATTCAATTCATTTTCATTATATATAAGCCATTATTTATTTATTTGTAGTTGGAGAAGCCATAACTATGGTCTATTATTATGGGTTAAGTGGATACAATAAAATTTGAAATTAGCTTAGATGAACCAATGCTCGACTCGAGCATGATCAACTCTGTTGATCGAGGCCAAACCCACATGGTCGAGCAAAGTCCAAGTGAGGCAAGGACCCTTAAGCAAGCCTAGCAAGCGGACCAAGGTTCCTAGGGACGAGCAGCATATTGATACTCTTTAAATCGAACTAAATATTTGATTGGGCATTTGTTAGTAAACATCAAACTAATGTGCAATTTGCTTGTTTTATAGACGTTTTCGTCTTCTTTCAGTCAAATCATGCTGATTAGAGTCGTTTACTATAACTAAATCTATGCATCAACGATAATCACCGTGAAAGTGGATTAGTATTAATTAGGATTAATTAAATAGAAGACACAACATTAACACGAAGCATGATAGAGAAGGCCAACCAAACCAAACCAAGCATTAATATTACGCGTCTTATATTATGGTCATGCATATTAATTGCAACCATTAATATTCACACCAACACTATGCCTTTCATTTCCTTTGTTTTTGGAGACCACATATGAGCACAATCTTAAATACCCTCGTACCCTAATACTAAATTTATCCAGCTGATGTGTTAATTATGTGGTGGCGCTTAATCGAGAGGGAAACTGGCCCCAGTTAGCAAAGTTAGACTAATTGTTATACTATCATCATTTACGTATCGGCATGTACTCACACACTTGCATGACGTTTTGAACTGACTTCATAATACACGACATATAAGCATGTTCAAGCGCCACATTTATCGTATAATTAAATGCAAATTATGAATCACAATAAATCATACATATCCATCTTAAACCTAAGATTCATTAAAATGTCACTTATATTAAAATGACATTCAACCATAAATTTATCTATTACGCATAATATAGGAGCATTAATAAAGTGTACACTTGAATTTTGTTGGATTTTTTTTTTCATTAAATCGTGCGTTTAATGATTTAATTTTAATAATAATTTTGATTATTTTATTTTCAATTTAACACGATTCGTTTTATGAAAAATTAAAATTGTTAATGTAATCTTGAATAATACGTTATTGACGTAATAACTTAAATGATCTATAATGTATGGATAAAGTTGGGTATCATGTCTAATAATTCTATTAGTATGACATATTTCGTAATTGCTATAAATGATTTGATTCAAATTATTGTCACGAACACATGTGAGTATGAGTATTCTACTAAATCATAAAATATTTAATCTCTTTTTATAAATATTTTAATTGAATCGACTGTGACACTCTCCACTATCCTAAAATCTTTCCATTTTTATATTATAAAGCATCCCATGTCTTCAATAATTTAAATTTGTCCTTTTGTAAAAATTTAATAAAATTTAATTTCTATCTAATCAATTAATTAGTTTTATTAAGATTCTTCTTCATTAATTAAACCAAACAAAAACAAAAAAGAAAAATAAAATTTGAGATCAATATTAATTTTTTTTTGTTCTCTTCTGATTTCGCGCCGAGCGACAGTTATAATTTAATCCAGAATCCCGTATTTTAAAAGATGCCTCCCTCCACTACACAAATCCGCCATTGAAATCCATTGTTTTTTCTTCTAGAACTGTGTAACCCGTGCATCCATTTCTAAAGATGCTCCAATTTTCATCTGCTCCCTGCTGAGGTATTTTCATTTTTTTGGTTATGTTTTGCATCAATTCTTAGAAAATCGTCAACAAGATGTTTGTTAAAATGCTTATTCTAGACACTATTCTCAATCTGGGATTTTGGGTTCTCGATTTGCCAAGGCTTACTCGAAGTGATCGCTAATAATTGGCTATGCTGGTTACAAAACTCAAATCGTTGATGAAAAATTAGAAAACCCCACCAATGTTTTTGGGGGGCGTTCCTTTTTCTGTTTAGGTTGTGCTGTGTTGAGTGAAATTTGTGTTTGTTTACGTCCTATATTTGGCTGTTTTCAATGTCGTAAATTAAGGGATGTAGCTGAGTTGTCTGCAGATAAGACTATCTTCTACGTCGGCTCGGTTTCACGGGTTTACATGAACAAGTCATAGGTGCCGCCGTTTGTTTTGATTTGTTGAATTCGTTTTCAATTCATTCCCACACACCTCGTCCTTCAATTATTACACGCATCTGCAGTGTTTAATTAGGAGGTGTATTTTCTTTTCTGTCCACTATATTGTAATAATTCCTTGGATTTTGATTTGCCTGCGATCTTTGTATCTTGCATTCAGATTCATATAGCAGGATTTGTTGGGTTCTTCTGTATAGACCTTTTATTTTGCTTGATGGGGGCCAAAAGTTCAAGGGAGGCCTCGTTCTATCGCTCAACTCCTTCTTCTTCTTCTTCTTCGTGGGATCGCGGTGGGTATTCTCATTCGTCATACGGACATGAAACCCCAAGTCATAGGCCTCAGCAATCGTATTCTCAATCTTCATATGGACATGAGACCCCAAGTTATATGCCTCAGCCAACCTATCCTTCCCAGCAGTATTATACATCCCCTCAAGAGGCCTATGGGAACGTCGATAATGGCAGGAGATTGGATAGGAGATACTCGATGATTGCTGATGATTACCATTCGTTAGAAGAGGTAATTTGTAAATGGGTTTAGGATTTGAATGGGAATTGATGCATACTTTACATTTATGGAGTGGTCTGTTGAATCTTCTTCTTTACGCTTCATTTACATCTGTTGTTTATCTCATTTATAAAGGAACTTTAAAGGATAATCGACCCTGTAATCAGGGGATTTGCTTTGTTCTTAGAGAGATGAAGTAATCTTCAGTCCTTTTCAGGTAACACAGGCTCTTAGAGTTGCTGGCCTCGAGTCTTCCAATCTTATTGTTGGCATTGATTTCACCAAGAGCAATGAGTGGACAGGTGAAGCATTAATTCTTTTCTTTTTTGCTTGCAATATATGGGCTATTGTTTTTAGTGGGTCATTCCAATTTGGCATTTACATTTTCAAATAGGTGCAAGGTCGTTTAATAGACGGAGCCTACATCATATTGGAGACCACCCAAATCCTTATCAACAGGCCATATCAATTATTGGAAAAACGTTGGCTGCTTTTGACGATGATAGCTTAATTCCCTGCTTTGGATTTGGAGATGGTTGGTATCTTTTCTTTTCTTTGCAAAGATCTTGACACATTAAAAGGGTTGGCGCTCACTTTACTGAATTGGCAGTATCAACTCATGATCAAGAGGTCTTCAGTTTCTTCCCAGATGAGGAGAAAGTTTGCAATGGATTTGAAGAAGTATTGAGTCGTTACCAAGAAATTGCCCCACATCTACGACTTGCAGGTTTGTTTAATACATCTACAATGTCTTTCTGATATTTGAAGGACTTGTCTCTTTGATATCGAATTTGATCTTTAATTCTCCTGGCTTTGTGATAGGACCGACCTCATTTGCACCTGTTATTGAAATGGCCATGACCATTGTCGAGCAGAGTGGAGGTCAATACCATGTCTTGCTAATAATTGCAGATGGACAGGTAGGTCTAAATGTCTGATTTCCTGCGTTTACGTGAGATTCCACGTCGGTTGGAGAGGGGAACAAAACATTCTTTATAAGGGTGTGGAAACCTCTCCCTAGTAGACGCATTTTAAAAACCTTGAGGGAAAGCCCGAAAAGAAAAGCTCAAAGATGACAATATCTGTTAGCGGTGGGCTTGAGCGTTTACCGTTTAAATTATTGGATTATCTGTTTGCTACTTCATATATTTTTTAAGTGTTTCCCTATGCTCAGGTGACTAGAAGTGTAGATACAGAACGCGGGACACTTAGTCCACAGGAACAAAAGACTGTTGATGCCATTGTTGAAGCAAGGTGAAAATGGAGCTCTTACATTCCTCCTGCTCCCTGCTTTTACTCTCCACAGCTCTAAGCACTACGTCTCTCCGTGCAATAATAGTATATGCTTTCATTTCACTGTAGCAAGTTCCCTCTGTCAATTGTTTTAGTTGGAGTTGGAGATGGCCCCTGGGATATGATGAGAGAATTTGACGACAATATCCCATCACGCGCATTTGATAATTTTCAGGTTGGTGTTATTAGTTTCATTCATCTCTACATACGTACTTACATACCTATATATACATGTATATGCATACACTTATATGCACGGATGCAGGCTTTGCAGTTCTATACTTTCCTCTTTCGTCCTCTCTGCCATCGAGGTTCCGTTTTATTTTTCATTAATTCTCTCTTCCGCTGTCTAGTTTGTAAATTTCTCAGAAATTATGTCAAAGAATATACCTACATCTCGGAAAGAAACAGAGTTTGCTCTTGCTGCACTAATGGAGATTCCCTCCCAGTACAAGGCTACAATGGAGCTTGGTGTTTTGGGGAAGAGGTTATTTCCTGCTTCAGTTTTTCTTTTGCATCTGAAGTAATTGTTTAGTGTTATCTTTTAATTCTGTGCCTCAGTTTTGATCCAGAACTTGTTTTAGAACTATAAAATCTTTGATGGGTCTCGGAAACAATCCTAATGTCTTCTGTTTTCTTTTTTTCCTATGGACGACGTTTTCGTTTACTCGAGCAGTGATCACAAAAGCGTGTCTCCTCAGAGAGTTGCACTTCCTCCACCAGTCTATGGCGCAGCAGCTTCTTTTGGTAGTTCAAAATCTTTCAGTAATTCAAAGCCTACCTTGTCTTCCAGTTATGAGCCAAGTGTGCCATCTTTCCCCGAACGCCGAAATCTTACTAGAACTAGTACAGCTCCTTCTATAGCAAGCTCAACTTATGATAATCAGGTCTGTCAAATTTTATCTTGTCTGTCATGTTTTCTTCACCCTTTTTCTTAATATCTAGAATCAAACGAATCATGCTTATCATACAATGTAATATCAGTTTCATAGTGGGAGCAATTTTTAGTCTGAAAGAAAATGACATTTTCCTGCAAGTGAATAGTTTGAAAAGAATACTAATTGCACTTCAACATCAATCCAAATAAAGCATACTTGTTGCTTTGAATTGTGCAACAGTAACCATCTTTCGTGTGTCGTATGTTCGCATGTGAGATTGTCACGATCCATTACTTATTTCTTCCTGTCTATCCTTTTTGTTTTTAGATTTTGATTGGGATCTTTCCTAATTGATGACATAGGCAAAAAGTGTTCATCAAAGTAGTATGTTTTTTGAAAAATGAATGAAAAAACTAGTTTTCTATGAAGTTTAACGAGACTAGCTTTCTACTGATCTTGAACAGATCTGCCCCATTTGCCTCAGCAATCCAAAGGACATGGCTTTTGGCTGTGGACACCAGGTGAGATTAATGCTGTTTCGCTCTCAACTTTTGTTTGACATGTTATGGAACAGAACATGAATCAATAATCCTGAACTGAATTTGCTTTTGAATGATGAATGTTTTGTTCATTACAGACGTGTTGTGAATGTGGACAAGACCTCCAGACATGTCCCATATGTAGGAGCGCCATTCACACCAGGATAAAGCTTTACTGAGGCGTCTTGGTTTGCTGCTTTGTTGAAATTCTTTGTAATCTATTCCTTAATTTATCCGAAATCATGTCCAGTCTCTGAATGCATTGGGTTATATGAGATGTTTGGGTTATATTCTTCATATATACTATGCGAGTTGGCCATTGATTTGTGTAGTTAAGAAAAATGAACAACTTCCCAAGTTCCTAATTTCGTATATGCCATTGCAATCTTGGTTTAAGATTATATTCTTTGAAAAATTTGCGTCCAGTTAGTTTCGAATGTTTAGGTTATACAGTACGGACTCCTCGTCTTCTACCTATGTCAATCTTCATTCTCGTGAAGTTTTCTATTTACGTTTGTATGGGTTAAGGTGAGAATTTTGTACTACAAATTTGTTGGGATGATATATCCGGAGAATTTTTAATTTCTAAAAATTTAAAGTTTATACTAATTTTTAAAAAATTCAACTATTTTTAATATACTCGAACAAATGGAAGTAAGAAAGGAAGATGTTTATAATACTAAGAGATCTTTACAGTCCCTCTTCGTACCTCATTTAAATGGATATGTTTTTTTTAACCTCAAATTGGTCGGAGGTCTAGCACGGTAGGCAACAGAGGTTTTGTAACCCAATGCCAAATCAGTCAAATCGAGACGTTTTTGAGTTCAACCTATATTCGGAATTTTTCTAGAATTGGTAAGGCATAATGGGAGATAGCAATTACCAATGTAGCAGTTACCCATAAGTTTGTATATGTTAGTATTTTCTAGAATGTATTTGTCATGATGTTAATTGAAGTCTTGATAAATTAAACGTAGATCTTATGAATTGAATTAAATTAAAATTGATATATATCTTTTGGTAAAACATTTATTATTTTTTTTCTTTTTCCAAATATTGCACTTTACAGTATTAGGAAAAATGATTGATAACTAGTAACTTTTATTTTTTTCCTTGAATAAAATTAAATATTGTGAATTTAAGAGAATTATTAATAAAGTTAAATATTATGAATTTAAGTTAGCATTATAAATAAAATTAAAATACTTTGAATTAAGTTTGTGATAAGTGTTGCAATTAGGGGCCCTCTGGCATGGCGAAAATACGATGAACATTCAACAGTGAGAATTAAGTACGTACTGTACACGCGAATCCATTCAATCTCTTCGGCATCCCACGATAGCGAAATCTCATGCCTTTCACTCTTCTTCTTCACGCCTTTTCCTTTCTCTGATTCTGAATCTTCACTCTGTTTCCCCTGATTCATCTCTTTCGCCCTGTACCTGTAGTAATGAAGCACAAGACCCACTCCCTTTCCCCCACTCGCCGACTTAAGCTCCTTCTACTCTGCCTCATCCTTCTTCTCGCCCTCCTCTGTCTCTATTATGGATCCTCTCTCGCACCCAGTTCGCGTAGATCTGATGCCGAGGATTCCTTCGGCTCTGATCCGGTTCTTGGTGCGGTCGGTGTCAGTCGCGATGTGGGTCACTTGCATGAACTTCCGGAGCTGAATCTCGACGTCCCTGGGAGCATTCCTGTAAGCATCACTTCCTTGAATTCTTGTTTTTGCAATTTTGGTGAAGTGGAACCCTGGAAATGTGCTTCGGTTCTTGAATCGGTTTTCTTGTTGTGTTTTTGTTTTGAGCTGAAATGCTTGCTTCTTTATGCCCTTTCAGATCTGTGATGAACGGTATTCAGAGTTGATACCTTGTTTGGATAGAAACCTTATTTACCAATTGAAATTGAAGCTCAATTTGAGTTTGATGGAGCACTATGAGCGGCATTGCCCCCCTCCTGAACGCCGCTATAATTGTCTCATTCCTCCTCCTACTGGTTACAAGGTTGGTTATTTGTAGTAATGTAAACAATAGCTACTTATAGAATAGTTTGATTCCAACGTAATTATAATTAGAGTTTCAGATCCCAATAAGATGGCCAGCGAGTAGGGATGAAGTGTGGAAGGCAAACATACCGCATACACACCTTGCACAAGAAAAATCAGACCAGAACTGGATGGTTGTGAATGGGGATAAGATCAATTTTCCTGGAGGTGGCACTCATTTTCACTATGGAGCTGATAAGTATATCATTGCACTTGCGAAGGCGAGTTACTTTTTTTCTTTCCATTGTCAATCCTTGAGGTGTCGTAGAGTAAATATTAATCTCAAATTTGAGTAATTTGACAACTTCCCAAGTGGCAGAATTTGCTTCTAGGTTCATTTTTTTTCTTTCTGCAAATGAATGGATAATGTGTGGTAACCCAACCCACGGGCATGAGATTCATTTCTCTTTGTAAAATGCTTACTATTCTTCTTATGCGTGTAGATGCTTAAGTTCCCTGGTGATAAGCTCCACAATGGTGGAAATTTACGGAATGTCCTAGATGTGGGCTGTGGGGTTGCAAGTTTTGGAGCATATCTTCTTTCACACGATATTATTGCTATGTCTCTGGCTCCTAATGATGTGCACGAGAATCAAATACAATTTGCACTTGAGAGGGGTATTCCATCAGCTCTTGGTGTTCTGGGAACAAAAAGACTCCCCTATCCTAGTAGATCATTTGAGTTGGTTCATTGTTCTCGATGTCGAATTGATTGGCTACAGAGAGATGGAATCCTCTTATTAGAACTTGACAGGTTATTGAGACCTGGAGGTTATTTTGCTTACTCCTCCCCTGAAGCTTATGCACATGATCCAGAAAATAGAAGGATCGGAATTGCTATGAATGACCTCCTGAGGAGGATGTGCTGGAAAGTTGTTGCTAAAAAGGATCAAACTGTTGTATGGGCTAAGCCAGTGTCTAACAGCTGTTATTTGAAAAGGGCTCCTGGGACTCTTCCACCTTTGTGTGATTTGGAAGATAATCCAGATTTGAGTTGGAACGTGTCAATGAAAGCATGCATTTCCCGATACTCTAAAAGTGAGTGTGAATATGCTTTTCAGCCACATTCCCTCTACTCTTACTGTTAAGATTTTTCTACTTAACTGATCCTCACAGTTTTAGGTGGTTTCATTCTTTTTTCTTTTTCTTAAGGTTTTGTAAAAATGTTCTGATTTATAAATACACAAGAATATGTCTGTCATTAAGCAATGGAGTTGCATATTTCAACAGTCTTCCTTGACTTTCTATCAACTATAGCTGTGTATGCTTATTTCACTTTCTTTTCGTAAGCATATTGCTTTTTGTGTATATCTCGATGTTCATTTACATTCTTCTCTTTGAACATATCAATGTAACAGAAATGCACAGGCTAAAAGGAAGTGGACTAATTCCTTGGCCACGTAGACTTACTTCAGCTCCTCCCCGTCTTGAAGAAGTTGGTGTCAGTGCAGAAGAATTCAAAGACGACAGTGTAAGTTTTTTTAAAGGTGCCAATGTCTTCCATTGTTTTTAAACATTAGCAGCAACAAATGCTATTCTATTATTTACTGTTTCTTATGACATTCTAGAAGCCTAAGGGAAAGATTCAATTTATGCAGAATGTTTGGCAACTTAGAGTGGCAGAATATTGGAAAGAAATGAGAGTTCTTTTACAGAGGAACTCCATCAGAAATGTAATGGATATGAATTCCAATCTTGGGGGGTTTGCTGCTGCACTAGTTAATGAAGCTGTCTGGGTGATGAATGTTGCTCCTGTCAATTCATCTGCAAAATTAAAGATTGTTTATGATAGAGGCTTGTTGGGAACTGTTCATGATTGGTATGCACTTTACCTGGTCACTCCTAGCTTGAATTTGGACCTAAATCTGCTACATTATCTTCTTGCCATTCCTTTTTCTCGACACTGAATTGGTTTTTGGTTATTCAATTTACTTATGTTATTTTATTACTTTTTTTTATCGATTATTTAATACAATGGCTTCTTTCATTGCGTCTTGCTGTCTTATTTTCACTGATTCTATCTAATTTTCACTGATTCTATCTAATCATACTATGAATCTGAATTATTTGTCCATCCTGAAAATTGTTGGATTGGTCTTTTACTGAAACATTTAGTGAAGAATGCAGCAACATTAAGGCAAATATGATGCATGCCACACCAAGCTTCTAGTTTAATATTTTTTTTTCTAACAATGGAAAATTGATGAATGAAATAAAAGGAACTTCTAGGTTAGCATAAATAGCTTGATAAAGCTGGATGTATTTATGTATGATTTTCTAAGTACCATTGATCTTAAAAAGGTCTGCAGTCATCTGGCTTTGTATTTTAGTAATTGAAAAATTGCATGCGTGTTGACTTTGGATCATTCAGAGGGTACCAAGATTGGTGGTTCGACATTCGCCAGTTCTGGTCGTAGACACAATGTTAGTTCTGGTCGTAGACACAGTGTTGCTGATGCGTGTAATCTTGACATAGAGTCTGTAGTTATCTGGCCTTACATTGTAATATTTGGGAAGTTGTAATCACTCATCATTCAACTTTGCATAGAACTGTTTCTTCGACTTCTATATTTTCAACCTTATCAAGATTCTTCATCCGCTCATATTTGAGTAATTTTTTTCTTTCTTTTGTTTTATAATCTCATTCTTTGGAGGCTTCAAATATGGTGTCTTAATTTTAATTCCTAACTAATAGAAAGCTACTTGCTTCTTAGCTGCATCTTGGATGCACTTGGTTACTTGGATTAGTCTACCGATCAACATGCATTTTTTTTACTTGAGTTATGGATCAAATTGACTATGTTATTCATAGAAACCAGAGAATACCAGGCAGTAGATGTACGTAATACTTCGAAACATATTATTTGCTACCTTTGCTGTCTGTGTTCCTTCCTTATCCAGATTCCTTTGTTTTACAGGTGTGAAGCATTTTCCACATATCCTCGCACCTATGATCTTCTTCATGCATGGGCTGTATTTTCGGAAATTAGTGCTCGTGGCTGCAGTATGGAGGATCTAATAATCGAAATGGATCGGATTCTAAGGCCAGATGGATTTATCATTATACGAGATGTTCCTTCTGTCATAAACTATATACGGAAGTATGTTACAGCCTTAAGATGGGATGAATGGTTATCAGAAGTGGAACCTAGGATTGATGCTCTTTCCGAAGTAGAAGAAAGAGTTCTAATTGCAAGAAAGAAGCTGTGGGGGAAGGAATTAGCAACAGTTTGATTTTGCTGCACTTTTCAGGTAGATATATATGCATATATTTTCCCCCTTTTCTGCAGCTTGTCACTATGTAAACTCGAACTCTCGTTTTTAGCTTATTGGCTTCTGCAGGGGCTTTTATCTTCTAGGGCACACTCACTTAAAACAATGCTCCTCTTTCTTTAGATTTGAAGTTAAAAAAGAAGATTAATGACAGATGAATACCCAAATGCAGGAGAACAATTGTAGTAAAACAGGCTTAGAGATTGCTGTACTTCAATTCTAGTATGTCTTAAGAAACACTCTCCATAATGGCCCAAGTCCACCGCTAGCAGATATTGTCCTCTTTGAACTTTCCCTTTCGGGCTTCTCCTCAAGGATTTAAAACGCGTAGGGAGAGGTTTTCACACTCTTATAAAGAATACTTCGTTCTCCTCCCCAACCAATGTGGGATCTCAAACTTCCGTCTTCAATCTGAAGCAGACTGTTAGCTTTTGTTCTGCCTGCTTCTTTTATCCAATAAGGTGTGACGACAAAAATCATATGGTTATATCAGAATACAATTGTCAGAAAGGATGAAACATAGTTAAGAAAAAATTTGATAGAAACTTTCTTTATTTAGATAAGAGAAGCTCCCATTGAGAGAATCCCAAAGAAGCACTTCAACTTGAAACCTTGAATCTCTCCTTTTTCATCTTCATTAGTAGGATTGTTTCTGGTCACTGGTAGATTATGAATTTATACTTCAAAGCTGTTTCTGTTCTCTGTAAAATGCCATTTTTGTCTACCCTTGTAGGAAAACCAAGTATTACATAATTTATTAGCCCTCAGCTCCGAGTTGAAAATGAAGATTGGAGAGCAGCTTGGATCCACAGATATATTTGCGGTGGCCATTTTCCCAATGACTTCCCCAGTAATTGTTGCTGAAGATGAAGAAGAAGATGAATATGGAATGATACAAGTAAGTACACCACGAAAATAGTCATTTTGCAGAATGCACCAGATGGAGGCAATACAATGACAATACTCATTAAAAAGAAAAAAAAAAAAAAAAAAAATCCTTTTTTGGCTTAGTTGCATACAAGAAGATTTTCCTTTTTTTTTTTTTTTAAACAAATAATTTTAGGTTGGAGTCGACCGATAGCTATTTTATTTTATTTTATTTTCGTTGTTAATGAGTAACCACGTCTTTATTTTGTCATTTACATTTCTTTTATCTGAACACTGATATTTTTAGAATATTATGGATTGAGTTATATTCATGTTAGGCTATACGGGGTGGTCGATATACATATATAAAGAAATGTAGGGATTCTACATAGCTCCTAAGTTAGCAAATTGATTGGCAGAAGCTTGTAGTTCATTTAAAAAAATGGGCAAAAGAGTGGAGCACCAACTAAGAAGTCAATTGCCAAAATTTTGGTTGAACTATAGATTCAATTCATGAGTTTGAATGGTTATCTATTCAGTCTTCAAGCTTTAATTCCCTCTTTTTAAGTCTTACAATCTTGAAAAGTTCTTAATTAAAATTGTTGAAATGTTATTTCATGCATTTAATGTCATTAATATGGTTCACTATTTAATTGTTTTTGAGTCTAATGGTGAAGAGTGTTTATCAAATTGGCTAACACAATATATGCTCCATAAAATTGAACATAATATGATACAATGCCACTCTACGTGTACACACGTTATACTCGTGCCAAAAGAAGACTTTTTTTTTTTTTTCAATTGATGATTCTAATTTCTAGAAAATAATACTCTATGATTGAGTCATAGTTCTATTGAGTATAAATAGTTATATTCTCTCTATTAGAACCTTACAATTGGCTCTATTATTCAAAATAAGTCAAATGAAGAATTCTACCTTGGGCTCGCAACCTAATACATCAATTATCATTTAAAACATCCACGATTTGATATTATAATCCAAAATTTAGAAACATGAAACCATTCTAAAATTTTGATCAAAATAAAAGAGATTTTCAAGAATATAAAACGTGTAAATAATTTTTTTTTGTCTCACTGTAACAATTTGATCCCATGTTTATATCTATTTGGTACTTTCAATTTTCGTATAACAATTTAGATAATGGACCTTCAAATTTATAACAATTTAAAATTTTGTTATGCTTAATGAATAATAAAGTAACGCAATCAATTTATAAGTTATAAAGTCTAAATTATTAAATAGTAAAAATATATGTAATAGTCAAATGTAATTAAAAAAATTTGGAACAAAATTAAATTATTACAAATTTTAAAATATGAAAACTAAATTAGTAGGCATTAAATTTTTTGCCTAAGTTGTTATAACCAAAGTTGGCCTAAATTCAAAATTCCCACTGTTTCTTCGATTTCTTCGGAGATCAACAACCATTTCTCTTCTTTCACCCTTCTTTTCATTTGCGTCGCTGACTCTGCATTTCTGACCGCTGTTCACATTTTTCAATCAGATCGGTGGTTTTCCACCTGTTCGTAGACGAAGATCGGTCGTTTGGAAGGATTTCTCGTTCAAGGTTTTCCTTTCACAGAATTATTTCGCTATACTTTCGTTTTGCATCAACTGATTTCGCCCATGTTTTCTAATTTCTAACTATGGAGTTTGTCAATTCCTGGTTTTCTTGATGGGACGACCCGAAATTTGTTCCCTGCCGTGATTTATTTTTCCTTAGAATCAGTATTAGTGTTTTTGCCTGTCTTCAAATATTGAGTTTAAATGTGGAGGGCTGTTTCTTCGTGCTGTCTTTTCCAGCTTGGTTGTTAATCTTAGTTATTGCAATGTTGGCGGTTCAAGTGAATTTATAATGGCTACAAAATTAAGAATGTGAATTGTAGACCAGGGCGACGTCCGGCAATTGTGACCGCGTTTGATGCTTGCCGTATACGTTGTGGTGTCGCCACGACTTTTCTGAAACTCTAGTGTAGACAAGTTGCGAACTCTTTGTTTAATTATTCAACTTTTTGCTTAAGAGGTTGGTTTCTCTCTTTTTTCATCTTTTCAGGCGTGGTTTGACATCAGATTCAAGCTTGGCGTTCTGGAAACTGTAAATTGATTACTCAATGTCATTCCTAGTTCCTACACTGATAGATTTCAGAGACATACTTTTTAAACTTGAAACTTGAACGTTTTGGACAGTATGGTGAACCCTACACGCAGGTTAAATCATAATCAACCTCTTATTTTCTTATTAGATTATGTGGGCTTTTGCTTCCTTTAGCCATCGATTGTGTGCAATTTTTTTTTTTCATATGGAATATTTATTTTCAACTTGTATTAATGTGCAGTGGAAACATGAGAAATCCTAATGAGATAATGAGGATTCTAGTTACAACATTTGTTGGAGGCGTTTTTGGGTTCTTTTTAGGGGTATCCTTTCCCACACTCTCATTATCCCAGGTAGAAAACTTTATTTTCGGCATTTTCTATTAATTATGATATGTTTAATTTCATCCATATTGATTTGGCTCACATATTTTTAGAAGGTGAGAAAGCTTATTATTATTATTTTTAATTCTGGCAGCTAAACTTCCCATCCAGCCTGATTCCTTCTATTGATCTCACTTACATTGAGGACAAGTACTCAGGCCTCTCCACTGAAGCATTCTTGAATGCTTGGTCTTCTTTGAAGGGTAGCAGAGGCGGCTCCTTTCAGTATTCACTGAACGAGACAAAGGTGCACCGTTGACTTAGTTATTGTTTTTCTGTAGAATGCAAGCATAATTTATTTACGTAAGTTTTATCTTCAAGCTATTTTTTATATGTTTCACATAAAGATATTAATTATTTGTATTCTTTAGAACTTTAAAACTGAGTTATGACTGAACATGATGTTAACTATGGGAGACATGTCTGTTTTGAAATTATATATATATATATATATATATTTTTTTTTTTTTGAAGATAAGGAATTTGATTATCATATTTCACTTCAAATTTTATTCTTGGATTTGAGAATGATTTGATCATTGTGACTAAAGTACTGGTACTTTCTGAGGCTTTACAATCTTACTGCTAGCTAGCATAAAAGTATCAAGGAGATTAAAGTAATGTGAAGCAAAATAATTTTACTAATAGATAAGCTATAGGATGGAGAAATCTCTCTGTACTTATTCGAGATTTTTCTCCCAATCAAACCAAGGATTTAGAGTTTGGTAGGAAAACTTGGTCATACTCTTGCACATCCATGTGCAATCATTTGTTTGACAACAAGGAGGCAATTCTAAGACACTTGACTAAATTCTTCTGGAGATGGAAGGCTGCTTAATAAGTGAGATTCTTCATATAATTTTGTATCTTAACCCAAAAAATTTATGATTTCTTAACTTTCCCCTTGAAGCACAATGCTCCATGGACAGAGTAGATAAACAGTCTCCTTAGTTACTACGCACTGTGACAAAGTACTATATACTGTTGTGATCGAACTTTTATTAACTTTGTTTTCTTAGTTGAAAATTAATTGTGGATATCTTTATTCATGTACATACTTTGGCATGAGATGGCAATCTGGAGAACTTTGTGTGTGCTTAATTTCTGATTTCTTCTGCTAGAGCTGTCTATTGAAAGTTGAAACTTTGATGATGATGCAGATATGGGTTCCTACAAATCCAAGAGGAGCTGAAAGATTACCACCTGGTATTGTTGAGCCTGAATCTGATTTTAACCTTCGGCGTTTGTGGGGCATGCCAAACGAGGTACTCATTGTCTAGAAAAGCTTTGCAACTTGCATTTGGCCTAATAATCTTGTGTGTAAAACTAGTGAGTACCTTTAATGTTGTTTACTTGTATTAGCTTAATAGTTTAAACTCGACCAATGGACTGATAGTCTGACTGTAGATTTGACAAAAAGTGGAGAATTATGAGATAGGAGCAAATTGCTCATTGATATTAAATTAGTGACCAATTTTGTGTGGATTTATGTACTATGTTAAAATTATATATATGATGTTTTTAGGGGGTGGGGGGTTATGGATGCTGCTTGACACCATTCACAGATCGACCTCCTTTTATATGCAACAATTCCTGTTTCGTGTATGCCTGTTCTGCAATGGGAGAAATGATTGGAAGTTTCATCAAAGAGTGAAGTTGATTCCCAATATGTTTTTTCTTATCCATTAAATAGAAGATTTGAATTATATTTTCCCATATGTGTCCTTTCACAACGTTTTGGCTGATACATTTCGTGGAATACAAAAGATCATCATGTTACCCTTTTGGACAAAGATGTTAGAATGGGTAGCTCAAAGTTAAGATTCGCACATCTGAGATCATTATGATAAATATGATTGCTAGAAAAGGGGAAGTCGTGTGTGACCTTATCTTACTGATGAAATATTTCACTCATCTGTTAATCAAAATTTCTTTAGTTTTCAAACTGAATTTATTATTGGTGGTTTCACTTCCAGGATTTGACCATCAAACCGAAGTATCTGTTAACATTTACGGTTGGTTTTGGTCAGAAAAAGAATATTGATGCAGCAGTTAAAAAGGTGAGTTTGGAAGGTGTGCATGTTATTGCATTTCTCTCTTCATATCTGATGTATTTTGACAGTTCTCAGAGAACTTCACGGTTCTGTTGTTTCACTATGATGGACGAGCAAGTGATTGGGAAGATTTAGAGTGGTCGAAGCAGGCAATCCATGTGAGTGTCCGCAAGCAAACTAAATGGTCAGTTACAAGCTCCTTACAATAATCTTCCATACAAGGTAGCAAAGAATTTTATTTGATCTCATCTATGTACACTCAATCCTAGGTGGTATGCTAAGCGTTTTCTGCATCCTGACATTGTGGCATCCTATGACTACATATTTGTTTGGGATGAGGATCTAGGAGTAGAGCATTTTAACGCAGAAGAGTAAGTTCGAAACCTCACACTCTAATTTTATGGGAAAACCCAAAAAAGTTATAATTTTCTGTCTGTTCCAGATATTTAAAACTTGTGAGAAAACATGGTTTGGAGATTTCGCAACCTGGCTTAGAACCAAATCAAGGGTTAACGTGGCAGATGACTAAAAGGAGAGGTGACAGTGAAGTTCACAAGTAAGAACTCGTTTTCATTTTAATTACAAATTAATCATTCATTTAAATATCCGTACACGTGTAGTTTTATTGAAATGCATCCATGATCATTCTTACTTCTCTTCGGTTAAATGCAGGGAGACTGAGGAAAAACCCGGTTGGTGCACTCATCCACATCTTCCACCTTGTGCAGCGTGTGTAATCAATGATTTTATTTATATAGTTCTTTTACTTATGTTCACCTTTTGCCGTATTCATATTAACAGATACACTGAAGTTCTTTCTTACCTTCACCCCCATGCAGTTTTGTCGAAATCATGGCAACTGTGTTTTCTCGCGATGCATGGCGCTGTGTTTGGCATTTGATTCAAGTTTGGATTCTTCTACTTATACGCTGATCTGTTGCCTTGAGTTCATTTTGTTTTTGGCTTGTTTAAAATAATTTTTCCCTTGGATATTGTAGAATGATTTGGTTCACGGTTGGGGTCTTGATTTTGCTTTAAGAAGATGTGTGGAAGTTAGTATGATCACTTGCCTGTATTATTTCACATATTCATCTTTTTCACAGACTCATCACTTCTTGTTGGTGCTTTAAAGCAGCCCGCTCATGAGAAAATAGGAGTTGTGGATTCTCAGTGGATTGTTCATCAAAGTATTCCTTCTCTTGGGAATCAGGTAATCCGTCGCATTCAACTCTCTTCTCTACCATTCCATAACAAAGACGTTACTCTTAACTGTTCTCTTCCAACAGGGGAAAGCAGAAGGTGGGAGAGCACCATGGGAAGGGGTAAGTAGCTGATGCCTTCCATCCTCCAACCCCACCCCCACCCCCACCCCCACCTTACAACATTAAGAATTAATGTTAATAGTAAATTTGAATTTTTCAGGTAAGAGAGAGATGTAAAAAAGAATGGGACATTTTTAGGATCCGGATGTCTGATGCTGAGAATGCCTATTATCGTGGAATGGGGATTGATCCGCCAAATTCAACTCAAGCGTAGGAAAAAGGCTGCAACTATTCTTTCCCTTTCTACTGGAAGAAATCATGTGTAATGGCACTGGTAATTGTTTCTCTGGAAGTCTTGGAATTTGAATAGTCAGTTTAGGAAAATTGATACCACTGGGCAGTCTTTTTTTAAGCTCTAAAAGACTTCCATGTGAGAGGAGAATTACGGTCTCTATTTATATGAAAGTCTTAAAAAGGTGCTTTGTCATGTCAGATGTGTAGAATAATCTATGAAGGCATGGACAAGCCCTTTAATTCTCTATGTTGCCTTCTAAACCATTTTTCTTTAGATGTTCTTGGCTCTCATTTAATTCAATTGAACGATTTTGCATCTAATCTGGCAAACCTCATAAATATTCTTCAACCCTCATTAGTTTATTGCTGAAGTTGCTGAAGAAATCTTCTTGATAATCATGTAGCTTCATGACTGACATGTTTTAATATATATTTTCGTGATAACTAGATAAGGAACTATTTGTCCCGAGCGAGGAATTCATAGACTGAAAGCTAGTAGGTACCGTAGTGTCAAAGCTGCAGTGATGAAGATTGATGAACTAAGTTTTCGGGAATTTTGTAATTCCGTGGCTGCATCATCTTCATACAAAAAGAAAAGACTACCCTGAGTACACAAATTGAACCTTTTACAACATCATAATACTAATATCACATTGTCTAGGATACTAAATTTTAGCTACAGCCAGTGCAAATACTTTGTATAAGAACTTAAAAGGGGATATACTTTGATATGATCAGCTTTACTTGTTAAAGTTTTTCTTTTTGGAGCCTGTTAGAGATTAATATACCCTAAGAGACAATCAGAATGAGCTTTCCAAAAGAATTTGAGCGTTGAGCTAATATAGTTAAATAAATAAAATGTAAAGACAATCTTGAACTGACCTACTATTGACTCCCTTCGGAGAGCTGTTGATGTGCTCCCAGGGCTATCGCTGAGGTACCTGCATAATAATTTGGACCATTGATTCTTATTTGGATGCTATACAAATAAATTTTCATCAGGAACGAAACCCAATTGAAATTTCGCCTTGCAATTAGCTTAATAACTCAAGACTGTCAGAATGTTGAGAAACATTATGCTAATGATTGAGAAAATGAAAAGTTCAGTCCATAGGCAAATGTTTGAATATAAAATCGTGAATCGTCTTGAGTAAGCAGATGAAACAGCTGAAATGTACCTTTTTCATTTTGATTAGGCGTCGGAGTATTCCACATATAGCAAATGAGGTCCACCCTACGTTCAATGATCATATTGATTTCTGTAAAAATAAAAAATGCTGAGCAATTTACTTCCAACATAAGAATGGATACAAAATATCAGCATGATACCAAATTAGTGATTATAAACTGAGGAGGGCATAAACCACATACTGACCTTTAGGTTTGTTCAGCAAAACCACTGTCCCATTTGGGAGGATGCCTCGTACACATACATATCCCTCATCATCCTGTGGCCGCTTATCTTACTCGGAATCGGACACATACATCCTCTTCCTTCTTTTCTTATAATATTTCCTTTTAGCCTTATCCATGACCACGCCCCTTCCTTACCAGACAGTTTCTCTCTCACGAAACCCAATTCGGAAGTGGGATCCCTGGAGGACTCGAGCTGGGGAGAGTTGTCGGGGCTGATTCAGGCGGGTGTTCGTCGACTCTGAGAAGGCGGCGGAGGAGGATAAGACGGTCGGTTGATGATTCATATCGTAGTCGAGAATCTGCGGAGCGATGAGGGAGAGTGAATTACGGAATCTGTGGAGAAGGTTGATGTTTGAGAGTGAGTGATTTGGAAGAAGTCATGAGTGTAGAGCCAATGAAGAAATGGGAGGGAGGGCATGAAATAGGTTTGGAGAAGATGACTTCGCATTGAAGTGGGCTGAGCTAGTTTGTGACACACTAAACATTTCCGGTGGGCTGGGTTGGGCGGGAGGGGATGTTCGTTGTTGGTTCTTTTTTTTTTTTTTTTTTTTCAGGTTAAAGATTGGAGATGGAATGATCAACCCCTTGGATAGTAATTGATATAATTTCCACTATTTTCTGAACTATATATCACAAATTTGCACATTAATGTCTGTAAATGAAAGTGAGTGTATTGATTCATTGATCAAATGAATGTTGAACATACATCATAAAGTGAAAGATTTCAAGACGCCTAATACCAATTTATCAAGTTCAGCAGTTCCTATAATCTTCTCAAAAGAATTTTAAAAAGGCTCCTGTAACTTATTCAAAATATTCACTGATAATGTATTCAACTTTAATATTTCCTCAGCAAACCAAAATTACCAAACTCATTGCAACCTCTTGTAATCTAACTGGAAAGTGTTCTAAGATCAACCTCATTTAAGCATGAAGGAACCACCTGAATTGGTTGAATAAAGAAACCAGCTTTCTGGCAATTTTCCTCCAGAAGCTCCACCTGCGAACGCCCATCAGGGCAGAATACCACGATTGCTCCTCCGCTGCCTGTGAACTTTGAAGAAGCACCTACTCTTCGGGCTATTTCCACCATTTCAATGTTTAAAGCACCCAGAACATCATCTCCAAACATACTCCTGTGAGTTCAGAAATTAGGAGGGAAAAACAGCGGTAAATAACTCGTGCTATCTAAGAGTAAGGGTGAGTTAGCATAATTTTCGGTTGAGGGAAAGGGATTTGATGTGCTTGGTTAAATTGTTGAGAGTGTTCTTGAAAAAGTACTTGAAAGCGTATACAGAACGCACTAGAAGCACTCAATTAGTGCTCTTTCCAAGAGAAGTGTTTCAGAAGACACTATCATCATGAGTCGTGGCAAACTCACCCTAAAAGTAAAGATCAGATATCGCTACTGTTGCAATAACCAGCCAAGTTACATGGTTTAAAAATGAGACTTGAAAAAGAATAATACTATTTGTGGAAATTCCATGATTGTAGAGTGATGACATCCTGGAGGGCAAATCTCAAATAACCAACTGGGCCATCCAACTAATTTCAGAACAGCGTAGTAGGCCAAATTACTGAACTTGTAAAAGGTATTCTCATATAAACATAAATTATTTTCTCCAAGTACAATTAATATTGCAAGGGAAGACAAGCAACTTATTTATAGTTTAGGAGTTGAAAATTTACTTGAGAGACATATTGTTCTAATATTGGGTCTAAAATTTGTTGAGTAAGTAGACACTAACCTGCGAAGATCGAAATTGCGGTTCATAAGTGCTGCAAGTTTTGAATAGTCCTTCTCAAGTAAAACCGTTCTTCCTTCTTCTGCAACCCTAGCAACTTCTTGCATTGATGATATAATGAATTTGTCACCATCAAGCCACCTCTGCCGTACTGTACTGTGGACCTGCATTTGCATTGGTCATGGATGACAGTGATTAGTATTGGAGATCATATTTCCAGCAGTCATAAGATTTAGTCCATCTACAGAGGAACTGTAAGATTTGAAGAATGTGAAAATTCTCTCTCTGACAAACAAAATTTAATTGGTTACGGTTCATTTTGATGTTCCTTGCTGTTCTATTGAATGCTTAGCAGGCTTATGACAACATATAATTGGGGGGTGGGGGGAGAACAGAAAAGTATTGTTGGACTCCTCCAGTATTTTTACTGATGCAATATGGCATTAGTTTTAGGCTTCGATAAAAAACCTATTCATGCAAGAGCAAACAAGCTGCTAGAACATGAATAAAGGTAGAGAACAAATGTACTATGGGGTCCACTAAGATATAAACCTTTCCAGAATCACTTGGATTATCAGCATATATTAGATATAGTGGAGGAAGAAGATTAATATCCATGGGTGTGTATATGCCATGCCCAAGCTCCATGTGTTCCTGGCTAAAATCCTACAGAAACAGATAGAAACATCATTAAAAATTCAATCTATTTCCATATTCATAAATATATCAACGTTTTTAGTAGCTATACCATGTAAACAAGGCCACCGTAAACCTGCGCAACACGATCTTGAAGACCAGCAACAATGCCAAGTTCTTTCTCTGCGGCAAGAACAAGGTTAGGTCTGACCTCTACTTTAATCAGATGCCTGACATCAAAGAAGTCTAGCAAGCAACTCAAGGCAGCACATACAATAGCACTGGAACCTGAAAGTCCTGCCTGGAATGCCAAAATCAAAGCGTCAGCCATTTGGTTCTTGTCAACAAACCATTTGCAGAATAAGGGAATATGAGTTTTAGCATAGGTACAAACACAAGCAGGCTAAAGATAATCGATCATATCATGAAATAACTGAAGTCTTCAACTCGATGACCATTAAAAATGCACTAGCCAAGGAAAGCAAGAATGCATTGGTGTGCAAATCACAGATCAAAGTGAACTACGCAAATCTAAGAGTTCATTTATAGCTTAATATAGGCAGGCCTGTTGGGTTTTATAAATTTGAGTATTAATTAAGTCAAAAATTCAGGAAGGAACCTTTTTCATTTCCATTAAAAGAACACAAATCCATATTGGCTACACTACCAAAGGTTTAGTAAGCTTGATGCATTGCTATTTTACCAACTAAGCATGAAACAAGAGCATCTACTTCAATGACCACAAATACTCATGAATCAGCAATATTGCAAGGCACTATACCTGTCGAGGAATATTAGTGTCGTAAGACAAAGTAAAATTCCTTGCATGAAGATTAATCCCGTTTTCTCTGCAATAATTATAAAAAACTTTACAAATTGCCATAAGCAATCGCACCCCACCATAGTAGCCTTCATTGGACAATCGATTTACCTGTAAAAGAACAAACAACTTTTAATCGCCGTTGAATTCATAAACATATTGGCTAACTTAAACTTCAAGATCACAACTCAATTGAATTTCATTAAATGAAATTTAAATAATTCCAACGCATCAACAAAATACAGTGCTATGTAATTCTATGGCGATTTCATCTTTAGATATCTAAAAATGAAATAGCAATAACAACAGGAAATACAAAAATACTATTAACCAGCCACCGAAAAAGGAAACCACAAATTTAATAGACATTCTAAAATTTCAATCGCTCATTGAATTCTCCACAATGCAAGGTGTTTTTTTGCAAATCCCTCCAGGTGCATTGCAGAGAAATTAACCTGATCTAATAAAAAACCAGATCTAACCCAATCAATGGACAACTTCAATAGCATATGAGAAAAAACGGACCAGATGATCGAGGGATCTGAACTGGACAAGATCGTGGGTGGGATGAGGAGTGATGACAAGCTCATCAGAAGGCCGGAGTTGGACGGAGGCCTTGAAATTCGAAAACGCAAAAGAAATGGTCCGGCCGTAGTAAACGTCGCTCGGATTTCCCAGTAGTCCCACTCTGGCATAGGCCTCGTGCTCAATTACAGAGGAGGAGGAGGAGGAAGAAGATGACGATGTCTTCGATTCCATTATACTCTCTCACTCTTCTTCTTTGGGAACTTCAGTTTGCGTCGCCGTCTTGTTCCGTCGTCGAGAGTCCTCGGAAGTCGGATGGAACTTTGTCGGTTGAAATGAAGAAGACGCAATATGGATTTTACAGAAGATTAAATTTATATACTATTTCATCTTTCATCTTTTTCCCTCGATGATATTTTATGGATCTCCTTCGATATATTTATTTATAAATATATAATATTTAATATATTTGCTACTTATATTATATATTTTCCAGTTCGTATCCAAAATATATATCTTATATTATTAAATATACCTATACTCTAATACATTTAGGAATATATGTTACGCATAAAACAACTATACAACCATAAAAAATAAAATAAAAAT